AGATAACGAGCAGGGAACTATATTCCTATATTAGGTATAGAAGTTTACAAGTCTCCGTTACAATCAGTGATGTAATTTTCCTCGTAATAATGAATGAGGAAAGAGCAAATTTGAAACAAATTTATACTGCAGTGAGTGGCAATATCGGTAAGTGATTCCCTAGACGGTAGTTTACCGACTAAATGGGCGATTATATTGCAAATGAAGATATATTGCAAAAACACATTGAGCTATTATGTACTACGTACTAGAGGCGACACTGCATTCAGATACTCTGTTCCACGCAACTGCGGTGCATAAACCGCACTTTAATCAGTCACTCGCTAGGCGCTTATAGAGTTGTCACGTGTTGTGTTGATTTTAAAAAAAAATCTCTCGATAAAAATATGCCGTCTTGTGTACTTAGATATTGGAAAAATAATTCAAGAAATGTCAGTAAAAACCAAGGAATTACTTTTCATCGGTTAATAAGATACTTAATCAATAAAAAAGTATTATGTATTAATAATAAAACAAATTATTCCTATAAGACGCCATCTCGTGTCAGGGAATATAGATTATGAAATTAATATGTTCAGATGCGACATTTCTGTGGGTACATAAGTATAGGACGAATATGTTATAATACATATTTTTTTTTGTAGAAACATATGTAAGTTATTATAATTTGGCAAAATTTTTCATGTTTAAATCTGCTTATTATTCTTTTATTTTATTATATATATTTTATTATATATAATAGTTATAAAAAAATATTGTAAAACTTAATTTATAATTGGAAGCTTCACTATAGGTTGTGTGTATTATATTACTTTTAACTGCTTAGTACTTAGTGTTTATATATAAATACCATTTAGTTTTTTTTTTAAATCTTTAAACATATTGTGGTTGCAAGCTTTTAATATGTTTTAGATATCTGTGGAAACTTCATAGGTTTTAGGATTACTTTTATATGTTTATAATGTATTTTTATTGTAATGTATGTTTCCCTTAAAAATCAAATAAATAAAATAAAAAATAAATTTTTAGGTTTCCACATCAAAATCAAAGTGGTATAAATTCGTCCATTTTTAACTCTCGCGTTTCTAGCATTTATGAATGACTTTTATTCTAATTTAAATAAATATATTTGTAATTTAAATGTTATGTTAATAAGTTTTGTTAAACATACATTTAGTATGTTTTTATTTTGACTTAGAAACCATTTAAATATTCAGATAAAAATATCATTAAAATGTATATGATATAATATCATGTAATATTATATTAAGGACGCGTTTACAAAATGGATAGGTATAGAATCGCACTACTACATTGACAAAAGTCACACACACACTAGTGTACGCACGGTTGGCTGTGGGAATCGTAGTCAAATGAAATTATTTTGATAATTTGAAAGATTGAATTTGTTTTTCATTTCTTATACCTACCTCAGAAATATACTTCGATACGAAATATGAATACCTGCTCCAAAGACTGCTTAGCACTGGAAGCCCTCTACTGGTAGTGAGATGTTAGCTCTGGACTTTGAACTGGTTTTGTCAGTTATAATAAGACCTTACCTACCTGCGGACTTGATGGAGTGACCTGAAGGTGTAATTTGGTGATTACAACAATAGGAACTCCTAGACTAGTGGAACTAGGTGTGCCGAGTTTGGGTTCGTTTTGTTGGTTATGATGAGACCTTACCACCGGACTTGATGGAGTGACCTGAAGGTGTAATTCGGTGATTACAAGTGGAACTCCTAGACTAGTAGAACTAGGTGTGCCGAGTTTGGGTTCGTTTTGTTAGTTATGATGAGACCTTACCACCAGACTTGATGGAGTGACCTGAAGGGGTAATTCAGTAACTACTGCTGGAATTTCTGAACGAGTAGAACTAGATGTGCCGAATTTGGGCTCCGTTTTGTTAGTTATGACGAGTCCATACCTCCGGACTTGATGGAGTGACCTGAAGGTGTAAATCGGTGATTGCAACTGGAACTCCTAGACTGGTGGAACTAGGTGTGCCGAGTTTGGGTTCGTTTTGTAGGTTATGATGAGACCTTACCACCGGACATGATGGAGTGACCTGAAGGTATAGTTCGGTGATTACAAGTGGAACTTCTAGACTTGTAGGACTAGGTGTGCCGAGTTTGGGTTCGTTTTGTTAGTTATGATGAGACCTTACCACCAGACTTGATGGAGTGACCTGAAGGGGTAATTCAGTAACTACTGCTGGAATTTCTGAACCAGTAGAACTAGGTGTGCCGAATTTCACTCCATCAAGTCCGGTGGTAAGGTCTTATCGTAACTAACAAAACGAAACCAAACTCGTCACACCTAGTTCTACTAGTCTAGGAATTCCATTTGTAACCACCTGATTACACCTTCAGGTCACTCAATCAAGTCCGGTGGTAAGGTCTCATCGTAACTAACAAAACGAACCCAACGGCACACCTAGTTCTACAAGTCTAGGAGTTCCACTGAATCACTGAACTACACCTTCAGGTCACCCATCAAGTCCGAGGTATGGACTCGTCATAACTAACAAAACGAAGCCCAAATTCGGCACACCTAGTTCTACTCGTTCAGAAATTCCCGCAGTAGTTACTGAATTACCCCTTCAGGTCACTCTATCAAGTCCGGTGGTAAGGTCTCATCGTAACTAACAAAACGAACCCAAACTCGTCACACCTAGTTCTACTAGTCTAGGAATTCCATTTGTAACCACCTGATTACACCTTCAGGTCACTCAATCAAGTCCGGTGGTAAGGTCTCATCGTAACTAACAAAACGAACCCAAACTCGGCACACCTAGTTCTACAAGTCTAGGAGTTCCACTTGTAATCACTGAACTACACCTTCAGGTCACTCCATCAAGTCCGGAGGTATGGACTCGTCATAACTAACAAAACGAAGCCCAAATTCGGCACACCTAGTTCTACTCGTTCAGAAATTCCAGCAGTAGTTACTGAATTACCCCTTCAGGTCACTCTATCAAGTCCGGTGGTAAGGTCTCATCGTAACTAACAAAACGAACCCAAACTCGGCACACCTAGTTCTACCAGTCTAGGAGTTCCAGTTGCAATCACCGATTTAGACCTTCAGGTCACTCCATCAAGTCCAGAGGTATAGACTCGTCATAACTAACAAAACGGAGCCCAAATTCGTCACCCCTAGTTTTACTCTGCAAGAAGTTCAAATAGCGGTCACGAAAGTACACCTTCAGGTCATGCCATCAAGTCCAGAGGTAAGGTCTCATCATAACCAACAAAACGAGCCCAAACTCGGCACACCTAGTTCCGCTCGTCCACGAGTTGCAGTAGTAGGTAAGTTTATATATCCTACTTATTTTTAGCTAAATAAAAACTGTGAGTATAAAAATAATAATTTTATCACTTGTCAAGTACTTATGTTTCCAATTTGTTTTTTTCTAATATTTTGTGTATGTACAGCGATCTTTTCAGAATGAGCCGCTGCAAACAGGCGATACAGTGTCCACTCACGACGGCAGCCGAGCGCGGACTGTGGATTCATCGAAATCTTTGTACAATAAATCAAAGCAGGCACCAACAATAAAATAGCCCTTATTGCAATACATTATGATTCATCCATATTACCAAAATATGTGAAAAAATGTGCATCAGTTTTTATTTTTTTTACGACTATTTGTGACATTTTGTTAAAAAATAAACCCAGGGTTTTTTAATTGAATATGTCTGTCATCTTATAGTATTTTTTAAATTTTTAAATATGTTGATAATAGACCAAAACATCTACCGAAACACAAGCCGATATCGTTAATTTTGTAGAAAATGGCAACGAAAGTTCGTTTTTACAATATAAAAAACTACTATTTTCAACAAAAGAGTTACAGACATTTGCAGATGAAGAACCAATCTATACATGGTAGTTTTTACTTATATTTGATTTGGTTTAGTTTTGTCACAAAATCTACCGAAAAACACCCTAATTTTGGTTGATTTGCAAACGCGTCCTTAAATAAGCAAATATAATATACAAAATAAATGACACAATTTAAATATTGTTCTCGATATAATTTACCTATTTAACAATACAATCTGCTATTAGCTACGGGTCATTCTACCTATGTTTATTCTATGATAAAAAAAAACAACCGCGCGAACACAGAGTAGCGCACATTTTTTGTTTGAGGTAGCTGTTCTATTACAGTCAACCACGGCATCTTTACCATATTTTTGAAGAAAAAACTTAATAAACGGAAAAATAAAACACTTATAAATAAGCTATTCTTTTTAATCGATGAATACAGTACTTCTACATTGCTTTATAAATGCACTGCTCCTTATAGCTGCAAAACCACTAAAGCAGCACCAAAAACATAACACAGGTAAAGATGCCGCAAAAATGGCTACTTTAAAAGATACCCTTTCGCTTTACACTCTCTGTTAGACATATTGGTACTTTAAATAAAAAAAAAATATATAAGGGCAATACAGGCTGATAGGTAAAGATGGCATGGACTCCATTGAAATTCTCATACAAATGTAATTTATTATCAGGGCTGCCACTTGTTTAAAAATGAAGTTAAAATGTACGGCTATAAAAACATTGATTGAATGCAATTCAAATAGTCGAATGGAGTGTTCTGTAAATACCATGCGATAAACTTGTAAAAATTGTAAAGCATATAAAGTATTTAAAGTACTAGTTGTTACATATTTATCATACTTATACTATCATAGTTTCAGCCAAAGTGTATTGAAAATAAAACTAAAAGTATTATTCTAATTTATATTTAAATTTGAAATTTAAATATAAAATTCCACGCCCGTTTTTATAGGGATTTGGTAAAATTTGCACTAAGTATATCATTTTCGAATACAATACTTGTATCGGGTACTGTGGACCAGTAAAACCCACCTTTTTATGTCTCATGAATTTCGCGAAAACACCTTCACACTCATATTTTTATCACGATATTTTCGTAATCAAGCCGCAGTAATACTTATACTTATTTTTGGTACTTTTAAACTTTACCAAGATGTATTGTCCTTCCATAAACTTTCGGCTTTATTTGCCTTCTCATTTTGTTCATTTTTAGTTTCTTCTTCTGACATAGTCTCTTCTAGTCTAGGTCGTTTTATCTTCAGTCCTTTTTTTCCATCGTTTTCTATTATTAGGTTTTCTATCTGTTGTTTTCTTTCCTGCTTCTCTATGCTGTGTTCTTTTGTTTCCAGTTTTTTTATTTGTTTCACTGTTTCCTGGTCTTCCCCATTGCCTCTCTCCATTTCATATTCATTTACCATCTGTTTTTCCACATTCTGTCCGTTCCTTTCATCACTTTCTATCCTTAAGTTTTCTTCCTCGTGTCCTTTTGTTTCCAATTCCTTCATTTGTTCCTCTGTGTCCTGTATTTCACATTCGATTTTCTCCAAGTCATATTCATATACCATCTCTTGTACTCGCCTATTATCACTTTCTATTCTCAAGTTTTTTTATCTCATACTCTTTTTTTCCAATTCTTTCATTTGTTCCTGTATTTCCTGTTTTCCAAATTCTTTCTCCTTGTCATTTAACATCTCATTTTCAAATAGGCCACTTGTTCACCTTTTTCCTTTTCATCCATTTTCTATCTTCTTCATTCTCAAAGTAATCCTACATCTTCAATTAAATTGTAATCCGAAGAATCTGCATACTGTACAAAGCAGTCAGAGTCCGAATCCGAAGAATTATCTTGGAGGTTTTTGGTTCTTATACTCTTCCTTTTGACATCTTTTTTCAAATTTTTTATTATTTAAGTATTTTAATAGTTTTCTGATCTGGTTGGGCTGTATAAATATATAAATGGAAATGATAAGTATAAACAATTGCATTGTTATTATTATTAGAATAAGTGTATTAATATTGTTATGTAAGTTTTAATCAGCTTGTAAGCCCCCCTAAAAGTAAAACATTTACTAATAGAGACCGGTAAAGTATAGTGACAACCCTAGCTACAGGTAAAGACGCCACTGTACAAACTGTGCCAACTTTACCTAGCCTCAACTATCATTACCTATGCAAATTTCTTTTAAAATTGTTAAGAAATTACCATTATAACAGTTTCTACGTCTTCTTAGGAAGGTTATATATAATATGTGTCAATTCTACTTACCTCAGCTAAGTGAATTCACAAGCACAATAAAAATTTCGACCAGAATCTGCTGCGACAAGTGTCCCGTCGGTATCAACAAACGTTTATAACTTGTCATTTGACAGTGCTACCAGTATTAAAAAAAAATTGTGTGACCATTGGCTCATTACGAAACAACTAATGTGTCTATGAAATATCTACCATTAGTAGTGTGGCGGCGCTGTCGTCGCGCCGCAAGCGAAACACACCGAAGCTTAAATCACGCTATCAACATTCCGAATCATAAAGAGCATTTATAGAATATCTCCGAACTATCACACGGAGTGTTGGCCGCTCCCCGGGCATACACCTTGCCCGGCGGGAGATCTCCCCTTTTCCTTCCACGGCCACAATGGTGACCCCGACGTTAACTGTGAAAAAAAAACTGTGGCCGTGAAAGGAAAAGGGGAGATCTCCCGCCGGGCAAGGTGTTATGCCCGGGGAGCGGCCAACACTCCGTGTGATAGTTCGGAGATATTCTATATATTATGCTCTTTATGATTCGGAATGTTGATAGCGTGATTTAAGCTTCGGTGTGTTTCGCTTGCGGCGCGATGACAGCGCCGCCACATCACCCCCCTGCTCAGACCGGAGGTCGATAGTGCAGTCCGATTGCTGGTGTGTCCTTTTAATGCTGGTGGGGAATGCATGCTATGTGCGTAAGAGCAAGTGACACCGGTGCGAAATATATGCCGATGTGTAATGCATGCCGTACTATGCACTGGCAAGTGATGCCGGTGAGAATAATGTGCCGGAGCAAGTGCCAGAAGTCTGCCTTATAAATCTGCGGTGAGTCGAGACGAAGACAAGTTGGACTGGCTTGCAGGAACTGAAGACTGCAGAAGACGATTCTCAATAGTGAATGGTAGGAGTTCTTGAGGATAATACCGAAGGCTTGAAGTTGTAGTTTCCGAAGGTTGTTGGTTGCGTGTTCAGATCACGTCGGGGTCACCACTGTGGCCGTGAAAGGAAAAGGGGAGATCTCCCGCCGGGCAAGGTGTTATGCCCGGGGAGCGGCCAACACTCCGTGTGATAGTTCGGAGATATTCTATATATGCTCTTTATGATTCGGAATGTTGATAGCGTGATTTAAGCTTCGGCGTGTTTCGCTTGCGGCGCGACGACAGCGCCGCCACAGTAGTTTCTGATAAAAATGATTTTTCTTATTACTTTTCAGTGGTAGGTAAAGATGACAAGGGAAGGTAAAGTTGCCTTAGTTGACGGTACGTAGTTGCATTGAAGTAATATGTATTTTATACGGGCTCCAGACTCCTGTGTGATTCACGGCGTGAATTCACGCCGTAATTTTGCCGCGAACTCGTCGCGAAAAACACATCCCTCCACATTCGCAATTGTTCACAGTTTAGTTCGCGCGCTCGTCGAGAATGCTATCGCCGTAACGCTATCGCTTCGGCTCACGACAATGAAGTGTATATAAAAGATAAAAAAATCGTATTTGTAGTTTTTTTACAATTATCGCTTTCTAGAAAAGCATCGATCACGTCAAAGGTAATTCAAATGGGCTTGTAAATTTTGTCGCTGCTTGCTCCAGACTTCCTTTCAGAATCTTTCACCTCTTTCTTATAACTTATATAACTGGACATTAGACTTTCTTTTTTTTCAATCAGTCACTTCAACGCTTTTCGTGGTAGAGCCATGCTGCAGTTATATTAGTAGTATAGTTGTAGCACGAATGGGTCGACTCGATCGAGGAAGGACCACGCTCTCACAGAATACCAACGTAAAATAGTAGCTTAATGCTGCTGTGTTTCGTATGGTGAGTGTAGAGAACCGGAGACCTTTTTACTGGAAACGAGGCATTCCATTCTAGTCCTCACGGGTGACAACGCATCTGCATTTTGATTCGTAATCGAGGATAGATGTAGATGTCTATGGAATACAGCATCCACATACCATCAGGTGGACTTTTTGCTCGTTTGTCACCCTATCCTGTAAAATAAAATAAAATAATATTCATTATTTCCTTGATTCGTATCCATGCGTCATGTACTTTCATTTTATTTTTATGATCTTTATGTTTAGCATCCCATAAAATGGTTGACTTGTTCGTCCAACTGACGCACCGTCCTCCGTAAAAAATACAAATAAGCACAACCTCACAGCAACGAGTCTCGCGCGTTACTGTTTTCACGCGCGAGTGTGGATGCGCTTGCGTTCACGGGAGGTTCACGCGTCGTAAATCCTTTGACGCGGGCACAAAATACCGACATTGAACGGGGAACAAGGCGTGAAAAGGCGTGAAGCCCGTGAACGGGCGCGAAAGCCATCCACACTCGCGGTTCACGCCTTTCACGGGTGTTCACGGCGCGAATGTGGAGGGCGCTTAACATATTACTTCAATGCAAAAACATAAGTATGTAAAAGAAGCTACAACACGATGCCATGAGGACCACTATTCTTGCTAATGTTGCGTGTAGGCGTTTCTTCACTCGCAAGGTTCCGAGGAGCACGCGCATAGGTTTGAACACCTGGTGAGCAATTTTCTCATCTGAGCACTATCACAGCTAACCTAGAGGAAGCGACAGCTGACGCGATGTTTTTTGCTTTACGCAATTACGCCAGCAACAAATTCAACAGAAGTGTTGTCATGCCTGGTGTGTTCAAAAAATAAAGGCCACTTTCTGCACTCTTCCACGCGTCGCAAAATGTTAACAACAAAGTTTTGCCTTTGCTCTGGTAATAGCTGCGGCTCTGCTTAGGCAACTTGAATTTCCAAAGCCGCGGTGTCGTTATTGAACCCCCTGAGTAAATGGGTGTACAACTCTATTAGTTGTCGGCGGGAATGCCGAAATCAGGTGGTAGCTGTTTACTTATCATTGGGGAAACTTTATTCTCAATAAATTTCAGCACTTCGTTAAAATATATATTATTGTTTCTAGGCTGTGCTGTTTATAGATATCCATCTTTGTGCAATATCTAATAAGCTAAGCGGTTTAGTGTTTATACGAAGTTACAAAGTATCGAAGCGATAGTCCGTAAGTGCTAAAATGATGGCAGTCTTTAGTCTTGATTCTTAACCATCATTTTCAGCGGTCCCACCGTCTCACATGCTTCTTAGAACCGGGATTTCTCTTGGCCGTCGACTGTTTGAGAGCCTAAAAACTTACTTGATCCCTGATGCAGTTCAGCAGCACACAGTAATACTCAAAATGTGTTACGTGTACTGTGGTTATGTGATGCCTTCACACCAGGTCAATCGTCTTTCAGTATATAGTGTATTATCCATGCCAATGTATAATCCTTGAGGCATTCCACGTGAAATCCGTTGGCATTTCGACGTAGAGCAAAATTTTAGCATACTGATATATATCGTATTTACTGACATAGCGTGTCGGCAATCCTGGCGAGGAAGTCATGCTTTCGCAGGACGATGTCGCTCAGGGCGCTGGAATGGGCGTTCGGCGGCAGCGGCGCGTTATAACAGCATGCGTGCTGCTCGCTTGGCACGCGGCCACCACGACCACCTTGCAACTATCGTCCGTCATGTTTTTTTTTTCAATTCATGGACAGAAACATTATTGACAAGTCCTTGAACGAACTAACCACTGGACCCGACATATAAGCGGACTTACTTATACCGGTCTTGACAGTAACCAGGAAATTCTAGCCTTGGTCGTTTGTTTTTGCGTCAATCTCAAGCACTTACTTGTCAACAAAACATCTCCCAAAAATGACTAAATTTTCAGTTAAATGGTATAAAAACTATAGCAGCGGAAGCACTATTTCTTTTCACTTGTAAGTACATTATTTTATTACATTTATTGTTATTTATCACACAATTTAATCAAATGTAAAATAAAATTTTGTATTATCAAACCATGTTAAATATAGTCGATATTTCTATGTATTGTTGACATGACAACCATCACAAAATAGGTGGTTTATTCCGATTTCGATTTCCGAATCGATTCCGATTCAGAACGAATGACTAAAACTGTGGAGTGAGTCAATTTGACATCGACTAGTGCTTGATCATGTCGAAAAATATATCGATATTTCACGATATGACCGAATGAATGATGATGTTATTTGTACAATACAATAACACCTAAAAATACTTATATAACAGTATCCTACAATCTGATGTTATTAAATTTACAATAGTTATAATTAAATAAAAATATTATAAATGCAAAAATTATAATTAGTATCTGTACAATATTTAAACACATAAAAGCACGAATTTTCAGATTTCTTAGTGACCCTTCTAGGAAAAGAAAGTGGGTAGAAGCAGTTCGTAGAGACGAAACCTGGATTCCG